GCACAGGAAATTGAAAGATGGTTATAATTTATTATCTCTGCTCTTGTATTTTCTTCAACAGACACATTCAGCATTTATATTTGTACATGGAATTACTCTGAGTTTTCATGGTTTCTGAATTTTCTGTTTTTGTTTTCTTAGGAACAGGAGGACTCAGGAAATATTCTCCTCATTTTAGTAACATCATAAATCGAAGATAATAAATGATTCCAAAAAGTTTTCAACTTTCCAGTTTCATTAATTCAGAACTTCATCATATAGCTTGAAATCTAATTAGCTCCCTCAGTCTTAAAAACAAAAACAAAATCCTTTTTCTGAAAGACATGTTATTTCCCAGTGTTAGGCCAGTTTGTCCTCAAATTAAGTAGAATCTCAACATCTTGTTGAGCAAGTTTGTAAATTCCAACTTCATTTAATGCTGCTGTGGTAGGAATTTGTCCTGAAGCTGATTGCAATACATCTTTCAGGAGTAGTGCAGAACCAATATTCAAATTCAAAACAATACAGGCTTCTTTTACACTGTTTAGGAAACAAATGGAGGCAATGAGATCTCCATTATCAATATCATCCATATTATCTTATAACAATTTCATTTTTGGAAACTAAACAGCTTCCCTGCACTCCTGGTCCACATGTTCTCTATAAAAACTATGGATTTATTATTTAGTTTTTTTAACGTGTTAGGACTACACATATACACAGAGTTTATATTTTGTTAGATTATTATAAGGTAATAGGATCATTGTTTTCAATATGAATTCATTATTTCCCTAAATACAATACTTGATATTAACACTCTATTAAAGGCAGCTATGACTTTAGGTGGATTAGAATATGAGAAAAGAAAAAATGAAGGGATAAAATGAAAGCAGCAAAATGTAGAATACTAGCAAATTTACAAAACAGAAATAGTCATTTGAAATAAGCAAACACAAGCTGTCATTTTATAAGTTTAAAAAGAATACTTTATAACCTCACAAACCCCATGCATAATTTAAATTTTAAATCAACAAATTCTGAAAATATTTCTAAGTATTCTTACATATATTTATAATTATACTTAGAGTCAAAATTATTATCAAATGTATAAGAAAACAAATTTCTTTCGGGCCTGGTCTAGTGTTAGGTACTAACCATATTTTTAATTTCTTATATTTACTGAGTATAGCACAAGTGCACTTGCTTTCGTTTTCTATTTATTCCCCGTGATAAGCAAATAGAGCATTAAACCAAATGCCATTAATAGAAAATAAAGCCTAACATGTAATTAATATCCAGTTCTGGTAAACTTTTTCAGGTCACGGGTTGCATCTTATATATTATTTTGGTTTCCCCATTGCACTCTGAATATGCAATAGATGCACAATGAATGTTTTAAAATTTCAATTGATCTTATTCCACCAAACACTACTGTAACCCTAAAGTTGTTAAAAAGGAGTCAACCTACTCTAACAATTCTATACATCAAGATTAATTATTAAATATTGAGCTTACTGTTTAAAATAATTTTCTGGTCTCTTGCAATAGTGAGAAAACAAAGGGAAAAGATTGCGGGTCATATCAAACTGCAACTGGGCTGCTCCTCCTTCATTGAAGTGATTAGCAAGAATTATCTGAAACAAAGAACAATTCATTTAACAGTTGCCTTTATTATCACAGCCCAGAAATATAGTCTATTCTTACTTACTTCTTGGTAGATGTATATATCCAGCTTCTCTACAAGCATTTGCCAGAAAATTTTAAATAAGGAGAAACAAAGCTGCTG